CCACTGCAATCATTATATAAGCCATGTCAATAAGGAAGACGATATACATTGTGCGCCATGGCCAAGGGCAGCACAATGTTTCCCGAGCTCAACCAAACGTAAGAGATCCTGCCCCTCCGTACCCTGCGATATACAAATAACATGAACTAAGCTCACTTTAATCCGAAGGGCAACTCTCAAGTAAAGGACCCAATCCTCACACCTATCGGTCGTGCTCAATGCCAGGCACTGCGAGCGCTTTTTCTTCATCACAACGACGTTCAAATTGTGATGGCCTCAGCACTTCGACGGACCATCCAAACGGCTGCAACTGCTTTTGCACCAACTCTCGCACACCCCGAAGTTCCCTTTCTACTCGTTCCACTAGCACAGGAAATAAGTGATAAGCCATGTGATGTTGGCACAAATCCGAAGGATTTACAAGCGGAAATGGACCAGGTAATGGAAGAAGTTGACATTAAGTTTAAGCATGAGGGAAGAATAGACTACAGCCTTTTGGAAGAGGGGTGGAATAGCAAGGTCTGCCTAGAGATTGACAGCACAGAACTTTGATTGTTGTACTGACTGTGTCTCTTTCCAGGAGGGCATATATGAAGCATCATTAGAAGCTGTCACGAAAAGAGCTGCTGCAATGCGAAAATGGCTCTTCCAACGGCCAGAGAGCGTAATTGTACTAGTCACCCATGGCGCTTTCATTCATCACTTGACAGAGGACTGGACTGGCTTGGTACCTCCAAAAGGCAAGTTTCTCGACACATCACAATCTCGTGCATGTTGATAGGTTTGCTAACAACACCAATCTTGCAGGTACAGTATACAAAGCCTGCGAATTCCGAGGATTTACCTTTGACGAGACTTCCACCGAAGACGAACCACGGTTAATCGAGATCGGAGGCACAAACAGACAAGCGATCAGACCGCTAGGGGCGCACGCACGTGACATAAAAGGTGTAGAAGCCGATTTTTCTTAGTGACGTACAGGAGTGCGATGAACCGTATTAGAGACAATATTCCCCATAGATGGTCAACTACATACACGAGAATTGCAGGTAATATAGAGAGAGGATATAGACATGTTGATGCTCGCCGAAAGTTCTCCTTTTCGAACGATGTCAGCGATGCGACAGGAGCCTACATTTTGAGATCGTACATACAATACCATCGCTTCGGCTATAGATGTACTTCTCGTCGAGAATGGTGTCACCGTCGAAAAACTGTGATTTGAGAAGATGAGTCTGAAGTGCTTCAACTTCCAGCCACAGATCGAAGAATTTGACGCTATTACTAGTATCTTTCTGATCGAGTTGCACCTGCTGTCTTGCTTGAAACCACGATGCTCTTCAGACTCTCCTTAGCCATACCGGAAACTCGGAACTTTGCACCTTCATGTCTTCGCCTCGCTAGCATTTAGGGGCTTGCTTATTTGACTAGATTGTAGTTTTATGTTTCCTGTTCCTAATCGTAAGAGTAGTTTCCACCAAGAAGCATTCATGGAGCGAAGGACTGGAAGTTCAAAATACGAGTCAGCTATCTAATCTCTCCCCTGAGAACTAGGAGTAGTACTGTAGGTAGGAGGACGTGCTAAGCATAGGACTTATGTACAAGGTCCATATCTACTAAGAAAGTAAAAACCACAAGGGGTGAAAAGCCCTTAACCTTATAGGGTTCGAGTAGTGTGTAACCCCTCTCCTCCCCCAAAATACAGTAAAGGTTATTCGGTGGATACTGTGCAGGGATTTTATAGCGAATCATTGGGGTAGAAGCTCCTCGAAAGCGAATCACAGTACTCCGTAATAAATATTTAAGGGGGATAGTAATAAAATAGGACCTACGGACGGAATGTGGAATTTTGCTCACACCCCCTATACGCCACATAAGGCTTCTTAGCCACTAGCGTGAGGAGTGTATAGGAAGACTACAGATTATATCGGTATTCTAGTTTCTCTTTTAAAAACGCACGAGTGATAAGACTATTTGAATCGATATTTAGCTACTAAGGTAAATTACCTTCCTACATAGGGTATAAGCTAAGATAGAAGGGCACGTGAGCTGTCGTCACATATATTCTTGTCACCCACTAAAAAATGATCTATTACGTATAGTCCGCACTATCCCCCCTCCTAAATATTGGTTAGTGTGTGGGTTAGCAAAGCCACACTGTGATTCGCTTTCAAGTAGCTTCTACCCCTATGATTCGCTATACAATCCCGACCCCAGATCCACCGAATAACCTTTCTTTAGGGGATACTCCGTACAGTAGTACTGAACTGTACGAAGTAGTATTATTGTTCGGTGTAACGAGTAAAGACTCCCCGACCTCGTCGACTGGGGCTTTATCCAATCGCTATAAGGCAACAGTGTTCAAAAGTGGGCCGTACCACACTTACCTGCACAGAAGTACCAGAATAGGGCACCAGAATAGGGGTACAAATAGTAGAAAAATACAAGCGCATTCCGCCTTCGGGCCATTTTGGTGCAATCAATGCCAATCATAGTCTAGTACGAACTGTAAAAGAGAGGCACGGTTACTCCGTATTGGCCATCAAACCATAATTCCCCCCTGATTTCTTATCTCCTTCAGCCACCACCTCCGTCTTTAAAGCTTTAAAATCAACATTTCTGGTGATGAAGACATCCTCCGTCAATTGCAACTCCTTTTAATAACCCTCACGCTCTTTGGTTCATTGTTCACCATGCAAATGAAATGTAAGTTGCCTTATCAGTGTGTTTTTTATGTTGCAGCATGCTCGTTATGGGAAAACACAGGCTCATTCTTAGGCACAGCTCCCTTCACCGTGAAAACTTCCGTCGTTACGCTTATTGCTCTCACTGCATTTCTTGCAATATTCTTCTCGGGTCACCGATTAAAGGCAGAAATCTCTCACTATGTCGCGCCTCCAAACATACCGTTCCACGCCAAACCAGCGACAGCGACAGCGACAGCGACTCAAGAAGTCGTACGACCCCTGAGCGACACGATAACTGGCAATAAAGTCGCGACGATTGTCGAGACTAGACCACTTCCGAACCTCGTCCCTCTAATACTTCACTTCGCAAGCGTCCTCGGTCCAGAATGGCCAATAGTCATTTTCACCACGGCGGGTGTCTCCGAGAAACTCAAGGAAGCTCAAATGTCGGCGCCCTTCGCGAAGTTGGTCCACAACAACCGAATCCATATCGCGACTTTACCCCCCGATGTCGTATTCTCGAACTCTGTAGCCGTATCCACCTTCTTGACGACTGCTTGGGTGTGGGAGCAACTCGCGCCCGCGGACCACGTTTTGCTCTTCCAAACCGACTCCATCCTATGTTCGAACAGCGAGAAAAAGATGGAGGATTACCTCGAATACGACTTCATCGGTGCGCCGCTCGAGGGGACGGGCTGGGGACAAGGGTTCAACGGCGGTCTCTCGCTGCGAAATCGAAACTTGATCTTGGAGGTTATACAGCAGGCGAACTTCACGGCGGAGTTAACCCACAATAGGACGTTGATCGCGGCTGATGAAAATGCTCCGGTGATTCCTTGTGCCGTGGAGGATCAGTGGTATCACAAGAAGTTAATAGCAATGCAGCAAGCTGGGAAGCCTGTGAAATTGCCGACCACTGATGTTGCGAAGGGGTTTACGGTTCAGATTCTGTGGGATGATAGGCCGTTGGGTTACCATCAGGTGGAGATTTGGCAGAAGGATAAGTTGGGGCATATTGATACGTGGTGTCCGGAGTGGAGACTGATTAAGGAGGCCATGCCTTTCGATCCTGCACCGGCGTGAGTTGTACTGTTACATACCTTGGGGGTGGTTTTCTTAGTCGGCGTCAGTGTTCAGAAACCTAACTATGTCATCAACTTTGCAAGCGCAAGGAATTTGGGGTTAGGGATATCACATGTAAGATATTTTACAATTCATAAGTGTCTACATATTCGCCAGGCGATAAGAAGAATGCCGTGGAGTGATACAGGCCGGTAGGAAGAAGTAATCAAGCACGCCCTGATGTTGGGAATCACAAAGCAATAATACCACCACCAGACGCTGTCAAATATATGCAGTGCCTTAACTTTACGCTACTTTCCAGGACGGGTCGATCATAACCACTGCTCGAAACTAAAACCCGACAAAAGATTCCTCCTTTACTCCCGCTAAACGCAACGTGAACTTGAGGTCTACCTACTCGACAAACCTTTTCGACATGGATCATTGCATCCCTAGTGTGAGGGGACCACCATTTAGGAACCCGACTGACTAGAGCAGGGCAGAAAGAGCATGTGTGCAAGTTACGCTGCAATCTACACACGACGTCATCTAATTTTCCCACTTTTATCATCATGAAGGGGAGGTTGAGTGAGTTATCTCGTTGTGAGAAGAGTCTAGTCTAGCCAACTGTCCTTTTTAACGGCAATCTGATTTGATCCAGGAGGTGGGCGCAGATCTTCATCGCGCGGAAGCTCCAGGTCTTTCTTTTCTTCCAGTGGGCGGAAAAGGGGTGGTTATCTATCGCGGGTCCCAGCTAGGATATTTGTCCGTATCCTCGTGGAGTTAAAGTGCTGCGTCGGTGGATTATACCTAAAGATCTAAGGAGTGGGAAAATATCATCTACAGATCAAGTATAATCTTTAGAAATGGCAGGTTCTCCCTTGGCTTCTTAATTGTATATAAAGTTAACATGTTCACTTAAAGCTCTTATCCTTACATAATTTAAACAATGTGTGGGTACAGATTTCTTTTATAGGCTCTTATAAACTCGTATTCTTATATTAAGTGGTGTGATATTAAAATGGAATTTTAGTAAAGTATATAGTCTCATTGTTGTTGGGATGGACAAGCCTGCAATCTCCAGATAAGTCGAAGCTCCCACGTCGCTCATAAGATTCGCTTCGTTCGGAGGGCTTTAAATGTCAAAAACTGAGAGCAGATTTCTTTTTTGTTAGTTTTCTCAGCTATGAGCACACAAAAAAACCTCCTGTTCATTTTAAGTGAGCAGAGAAAAACAACTGCAAAAAGAACAGGTCGTACCCGGGTTCGAACCGGGGACTCGAGAAGGAGCTTGAGTATCAGAATCTCACGTGCTAACCGCTACACTATACAACCTGTGACCGGACCATAACTTCTTGTTGATTGGTTGAGCGCTAATTAGCAGATTTAGTTTATCAAGTTTGACAGACTAGAGACAGGCACGGGTATGTACGGACTTGCGAGAAGAATATCGCGCCAGCGTTCCGAAGAAACCCCGGCTTTACACAACCCGTTCGCTTAGGGAGTTACTTCGGCAAAATAGGGTGCAAATCTGCAAACCATCAACGCTTTGCTTGCAAAAAGAGAAAACAATGTCAAGGAATGCAATAACGAAAGAGACATACATCTAGGAGCAATGGGATGCAAAAGCAAGGTCCCACCGAGAATCGAACTCAGGTCTCAGGAAAGAGTAATTTTGATGTAATCAAAATCCTGCGTGCTAACCAGCTACACTATGGGACCTGGTTGGTGAATCGCGGAACTGAAGTTTTGTGATTCGTGAACATCAATAAGCTTATTATAAATATTAATCCCTATAAAACGAGGAGAACGACTCCCGACGTAAAAAATCACACACAAAGCATCCTACTTTACTGGGTCTCCCTCTAACATATACTCAACGGTGAGATCTTATCTAACGGTTGCCTTCCTCAAGGACGATAATTATAATTTTGCAAGCCTCAAATTATCATATACAGTAGACACATCACTCTCTTCTCGCCATAACTCTGCTGCCGGGAGAATGTCGAATTTTCCCTGCGATTAAGTGCGACGTAGGTGTGGCACCTTGAGTATATTCTCGTCAGCTCTACCAATTCCAAAGTTTTCTTAAAGTCTCAAGGTATAGATAGTTCGCATTTCACCTCTTAATTTGCCAGTTCATCCACTTGTAGTAGTAGTATGGTGCTAGATAGTGGAATGTTGACAAGGGACCTCATGCATGCAAATGAACCCAATTGGAGCAGGTAGTACAGTACAATATAGTAGATACGAAGTACAGGTCTACCGAGGCTTACGACGTCCGCGAGTGGCTCGGCGTTCTATGGTTGAGCTCGGGATTCTGCCCATGCAAATAAGCGAAGGCGGTGACAATACTTATTAAAACTCAAAGGGTCTTCTTGATTTCACTCTATTCTTCTTGGATTTTTGTGACACAGCAATATGGAGAGAGACAATATCATGAATCCAACTCCCTTGCCTAAGGCATTGGGTAGAGGAATCAAGCTCATCAAGAAGGGCGAATATGATCTCGAGATGCCTAATTCTTTCAGTTTTGGCCCTAGTCAGTTATTCATTTCTTAGACACTCTTGTGTATTAACTAATCTCGCAGGAATATTTGGCGGGTTTGTCATGTCCATGGTGTAACAAGCAATCAAGGATTATTTCGAAGCAGAACACGTCGAGGTCAAGCAGACCGATGTGTACGGTATACAATGGCAATACTTTCGACTCGTTTTCTCTGGAACTGTAAAATTCGTCATCATGGACGTCCATATCGGCAGGTCCTCGTCGACTATCCTCGCCATAGTCAGTCAGAAGGGTAAAGACTGCATGATGGGATTCTTGAAGTGAGTGTAGTAATCAATAACTCGAAATGCTGACCAACCAACAACAACCCAGCATGACCAACATGGCTTTACCAAATGGTCTCTCATTCGATACTGAGTGGAGATTCAATTCTCCACCTATTGCCGCATCGGTCTCTCTCCTTGTCAAGGATTCTGATCCTAAATGGGTCTCATATCAATGTCCCTACCATCCAGAGAGCTTTCGACGTGCCCAATCGTATCTCAAGTTCTTCATACCTCTTGAGATGCAGGAGTCTAGGATTCGCGATCATTGGATAACTCCATCTGATCCAGTCACCACTTTCACGAACGAGGCTCTCGGGTTTGTAGTGGATATCTCATTGCCAATCCTAGACAACTTTTACCCCGATAAATCCATCGGTTCGCAGGCGGCTACTATTAAAGCTGGTCTGGAGCAGAAGAGGGAACGAGAGGTTGGCATCACAAAAGTCGTGGACATATCCTCAGGGGCGTATTACGCACCGGCATTCCTCAGCACTTTGGCAACCACTGTCGAGATTAAGAAACGATTGCCCCCAGGAGGAGTGAAATGGCTATTCATGCGATCAGAAGCCAAGGAGATCAAAAATGGTAGAATGAGCATGGAGGTGGCGGTATATGACGAGCATATGGATTTAGTGGCTCTCAGTCAACAGCTAAATTTGGTTATTGATATCTCACGAGCTATGGCGAACAAACAAAAACTCTAGGATGCATGTTGTCATAAGTCGACTCAGACCTGACGCTTAGTCTTCGAAAGAGCCCTCGCGAGCTTTTATCTTGTGGCAGTAGAAGTTAGGACGATTTCTTAAAGGTCTTGAAAAGCAATCATTGGCAAAGATGCTCGCTGTATATCTTTTCCAGGTATCCTATCAACCGCATGGTTTTATTGCGAGGAGTTGTTGACTAAACAGACTGATATGCAAACCGGAGTATCTCTTCTTTATATCACCCATTTCCATCGCATCTTTTTCGCAAATGACCTTTGAACCATTCAAAGCCCTTCTCCACGTTCTCTGGATCCTTCTCCTCCATCGCTGATCTAATAACAGGATCCTTGGGCTTGACTAATTTGTACAGTACCCCCCACCAAATCTATTCACCTTGACTCTAGGCAAAGATCCCTTGTATTCTACAAAACTGGTCACGGAAGATCGACAACTCTATTCTCGACAACAAACAAACCTCAACTGACCACCACACCCCGACCAGCAGGTCCATGACCTTGAATATATCAAACCCTCAACAAGTAATTATAAGTGAACACTCGGCGTCTCACAGCCACTGAAAATAGCCCTGGGAACTCTAAGTTAAAACACTAGGAGTAGATCACCTGTGAGGCTAGGCCAGCGGTACAATTTCTCATTTTGATACCACAATTTAGGAATGCAACGCCGCAAACACACACCTTTCTCATTTTCATAGGTCAGAAACAAGAATAAAAATAGTGAAACCCCTGGCATGATGTAGATCATCACTGTGAATACCTTCTTGATAAGATGCCACAAGATGAACGGTATATTCTCCTGAGAACCCAAATGGTCTATGATTTTTTCTCTCTTGTCGTTCATTCACCCCATATCCTCAGAACCGTATCGACTCAGTCTCACTAATAGAAACTGTCTTTTTCCAGCCACTCTAAATATGCCCTATTTAAAGGTCTCCACTAGCTTCGATGAATAACTCAATCTACAAATCCCCTCCTCAACAATCAAGTATGGCAGCGGCTACATACCAAACCCATAATTTTAGGGATGAGTGAGACCTTGATTTACGAATAATTGACGACCTCACTTGAATAATCCCTTGAGTCAGGTTCCGAGAATATAGATACAATCCCGACAACAAACATCAGTCTCGACAACAGAAGCACTACTATAGCAGAATGTCCACTATATGCCCCTATCTCATAAAGCCTCACTAAGTAGATTGGAACCCAGTAGTACAAACTACTAACACTAACCTTGACCCTAAGCGAAGTTGCAGAATGCAACAATTTTAGTTAAAGGTTTAGAGATGACATTCCGTCTCGAGCGGCCTCGTCAAATAAACCATTTCTAGAATCCTTCACATTTCTCATAACTCGGATCCACTTCGAACATTTGAAGTCTTTCTGTCTACGAGAGAGTAAATTACCCAGAAACCACCTAATAGTGTCTGATCACTATGCTTTTAAACCGTCTCCCTGGATTTAATAAACAGCCCCACCGTCCACATGAAGACTTCCTCCAAGACAACGGATCCTACAGCCCATATCACTCACTTATTGTCATGAATACAGAGGCTTCGGTTGAAGAAGAGGATCTCGGTTTTGTGAAGGTGATTCGTCCTCTGATCAAGAGATCTAAATCGGGAAAGTCGACAACAAAACCATCAATCGACCGCAAACATCCTCGAATTGATTTTCTCATCATAAATCCGTTCAATTCTACTATTCCCGGTAGTCGATGGCTGTTTAGGTCAATCATTCTCAACCTCACATACTCTAGATTCGACGAGCAAGGCTTCTTCAAAGTAGCATTGGATACATGCGCCTCTGACGAAGCTTGTTAGTCATGAAACTAAACCTGCCTCCATAGATATGTTCCATATATCTCTAAAACGGGTCACTCGAAACTCGGCACCATTTCCCCACGTCACAAACACCTCGTCACAAATGAGAAGATACTACTACTTACATTCGACGAGCTCACTTTCCTTACTACCGAAGATGTCATTTCCGATTTGGAAATCGAAATAACTCCCCTGATCTGGAATCGGGATAAGTCCAATCCAGTGACACATCTCACTCCAATCCGGATCTTTCCTAGACCTCGCATCCGGATCAGTCAACGTGACCGTCAAACTTACCCGCAACCCTGGTGGATATTTGGTGGTGGGAGTTTTGAATTTGTTGCCGAGAGTGACGGATTTGCTGTCTTTGCTATTCTAGTGGATGGGGACGACCCGGAATTTGGGCTTGAAGTCATCGAGGACTTCGGGGATGATCTGGGCCTTGGTATAAAGTTCGAAATGGGCACGAGAGTCATTTTTGAATGCATATCGCCGGATCAAAGTCTTCGCACATAGATCAAAGAACGTCATTATGCATTCCTCAGGTAACTCCGCTTCGAGAAGCACTGCCATATAATGCTTGGGGACACACCCTGTGGAAGAGTTGGGCCTTGGGAGGACTAGGAAGCAACTAATATTAAGAAGGTTTAACATGACGCAGCAGAGTTTCGGAACTAGGATTAATGGCCTTTACACAACCACCTTCCTGCTCAGGTCGTTGCCCCAACATGCAGATAGTCTCCTTTCCATCGTTGGTGTCACGGTGTGCGGGTCTTATAAAATCAAGCACATCTCGTTGCTGTCATGCTATTTAGCAACAATGCCATAAAATATTTCGTCAGGTCCATCAAAGTATATGTACCGATATCGAGATCGAGATCGACAGATGGAGGCCACAGTTGTGAAGACCACCAGGAGTATCAACTCTTTCGTAAATGCCCCAAAATAGCCTCCAATCTTTTCAACGCTCTTGGCTTCTTGACGTTGGATGCCTGACCCTTTATATCCTCGACCTCTTCTCTTGCTTGCTTGACTAGCGGAAGTAGATCACCCCAGACCTCGTCCGTATAACTTTCAAGCACACCTCTCCATTGCTCTAGGTGGGCCTCCCTTGCATGGGCCACTTGATCTTCTACACCAAGGTCTTGATCTATTCTCCCGACTTCAAACGGGGGAACAAGATGAAGAGGGTCATCTTGAGGAATGGTGGTATGTGGTTCGAAAGGCGCGAAAATTTCTCTCGTCATGGCTCTGATTTGTGAAATTTGATCCTTTGAGAGACCCCAATTTTGGTTGAGGTCGTTTTCATATTCTCGTGGATCAACATGTTCACTCATCGA